GTAGGGAATCCAAAAGGACGTTTTTGTTGTAAAGTCTTTATGCAAAAAGGCAACCTCTTCTGCATCAAAATAAAAGAAAAGGCAACCTCTTAGGAAATACCAAGCATTGATTGTGTAAGGCTTTTTTATTATATACCTCATTTTTCTTAATATTAATATTATTGTTATTATAATAATAATATTATTATAATTATAATAATAATAATCTCAAACTTTTCATCATATATAGGCGGCTCATTTATTACTACTTCCTAGATAAGTGATCATTGCATTTAAAATTTCAAAGAGTCTCACTCTCAGTAGGTTTCTGATCCTGTAGTTATATCTGCATTGCATGCATGCGTTCATGTAAGAACAAATTAACTGAGCTTTGTGATCTTGTTCTGCCAAGGAAACTGAGGTAACAAGGAATAATGGAAGATGAGACTTCAACTAAGGAGGCCAACTCTGATGATTGTGGTTTCATGGATTCGGTCATTTCTTGGTCCATTGAAGACATTTTGAATGAAGATTTATACAAGAACAAGGTTTGTAGAGGCACTATTCCTGCATTTTATCTCATGTTAAAAATCACTCCTGAATACTTTTTTCTTTTGGTGCAACTTTTCTCAAGTATTCTAATGTTTAGTTTGATACACATAAACACACAACACAACTCACTATTGGGTCTGTCATGTTCTTCTTATCCTTTGTGATTTTTTCACTTATCCAAAAACGCGCTCTTACATAGCCATATGTATTTCACAGTTTGGAGACAAAAACTAACTTTGGATTTTTTTTCTATAAAAAGTTTAAGATCACGAGCTACAATTTAATGTTTTTCTATTCAACAAGTTATGTATGGCTTGAGCTTGATTGACCTTTGATTTTCAGGTAGAGAAGATTGAACTATCATTCCAGTCCATTGGTCATTACCTTGGATCTTTTTACTACCCTTTATTGGAAGAAACTCGAGCACAACTATCCTCAAGTATGGAGATCATATACAAGGCACCTTATGCAGAAGTGATTGGTCTAGTGAAAGACCAAGAGGTAGATAAACTGTATAGGTTGAAAATTAATAGCTGGAAAAGCAGCTATGGTCATCATGGAGAACCATACAAAACTTCGCCTGATGATGTTTTAATTTTGGCTGATTATAAGCCACAAACTGTAGAAGACTTGCAAAGGGTTGGAAGGACGTGGAGTTTTGTATCAGTTGTAAGAATAAAAAAATGTGTGTTGGAGGATCGTATCATGTCTCCTTATATAGAAGTTAAGACATCAAAAGATATTGACACGACAGAATTAAGGCAAAAACCCCTATTTCTTGTTTTCTTGACAAATGTAAGCCATAATAGAAGAATTTGGGATGAATTTCATGTGCCCCGTAATTTAAAGCTTGTCAAGCAGATCTTATGCACCACAGATGAGGTAAGAAATTTAAATCTAGTCTTGAATACGTTCTCGATTCCTAAAAATATGATTTTTTACAATAGTATACTTTTTGCATCCAGTGAGGGACTAAGCTTGTAATTTTTGTAATTTCTAAGGACAAAAAGTGAATTCAACTCGAGTAAGAACTAATGTCATAGAGGTTTAGTTCAATTGATTGAACAGGGTGTATGAGTGTTGTAAACTCTTTTGGTACCTGAGTTCCATTCCTATGGATAAAAAATATGTATAAACTGCCATATCCTAAGCCTTTCAGATGCCTGACTAGCCACCCCAACCAGTTCGATCGATTCTCAAATTCTAACCATATATTTATGGATTATATGTTAGTTTAAAATCATTGATTTTGAAATTAAAGCTATAACTAATGAATGTATGCTGGAAAATAGGTTGAAGAATGTGGTAGTTGTGGCTCTCTGCCTGATGATTTAAGGGATGACCCTTCATATCAAAGGTTATTATCAGAGCTTAATGAATCCCAGAATAAGGCTATTTCTGCATGTCTATCTGGCCTCAACTGCAACCACAACTCTGCTGTGAAGCTCATATGGGGTCCCCCAGGGACTGGAAAGACTAAAACTTTGGGCACATTACTCTTTGCTCTCTTGAGAATGAATTATAGAGTCCTTGTATGTGCTCCAACAAATGTTGCCATCAAAGAAGTTGCTTCACGCGTATTAGCCATAGTGAAAGAATCACATATTAAAGAATCTGGTGATTTGTTCTGCACAATGGGAGATTTGCTATTGATTGGGAACAATGAGAGGCTAAAAATTGGTGAAGATATACAAGATATATATTTGGATCATCGTGTTGAACTGCTAAAACAATGCTTTGCAAGCTCCACTGGTTTGAGATCTTGTGTTAATTCAATTATGGATCTTCTTGAAAATTGTGTTTCCTATTATCATATATTTGTTGAGGATGAATTGAAAAAGGAGATGAGTGTGCACAAATCATTTCTAGATTTTCTGAGAGAAAGGTTTTGTTTTCAAGCATCGCCACTTAAATCATGTATTTCTATCATGTGCACACATGTAGCCATCTGTCACTTGTTGAAACAAAACTATCAGAACTTAGTGTGCTTAAACGAGGCACTTAACTCATTTGAAGGCTTCTTGTTTCAAAATAATTTCCCTTCTGAAAGATTGGAAATGCTTTTCTTTTATCCTGAATTACCAGAGAAACTTTCTCAGTCACGTGATGCTGCTATATACCAGTTGCACCAGAAGAGAGCTGAATGTCTAACAGCTTTAATAACTGTTAAAGCATCACCTGACTCATTCATATGGAAAAAATATTCCAACATGAACTTTGTTAGAGAGTTTTGTTTCCGAACATCAAAATTGATATTTTCCACGGTTGCGGGTTCATATAAGCTGCACTCTTTATACACGAAGCCACTGAACTTTTTGGTGATTGATGAAGCTGCGCAGTTAAAAGACTGTGAATCAATAACACCTATGTTATTTCCAGGAATAAGCCATGCCATTCTTGTTGGTGATGAATGCCAACTACCATCCATGGTTAGAAGTAATGTACGTAGCAACTATCAAGCACATATATTAATTGATTTTTTCCAGATAATTCTGCATCCCCAATCATCTTGTGTTGCTAATTTATTTTTATTTTTGTGATTGTTCATTTTGGATACAAGGTTTGTTATGGAGCTGGTTATGGGAGAAGCTTATTTCAGAGGTTGAGTTTATTGGGTCACCCAAAGTATCTTCTCAATATGCAGTATAGGATGCATCCACAAATAAGTTCATTTCCAAATTTACATTTTTATTTTAACAAAATTCAGGATGCACCAAATGTTAAAAGAAATGACTACAGGAAGCCCTATCTTCCGGGGCCAATGTTTGGTCCTTATTCTTTTATAAATATAACTAGAGGCAAAGAAAAATTTGATGATGCTGGAAGAAGCTATAAAAATATGGCTGAGGTTGCAGTTGTAGCGACAATACTGAAGAAAATGCACAAAGGTTTATTCATTTATGCAAATTTTTGGCAGTAATTTCTATTTTTTAATTTTGCTTTATACTGTTCTTTGTGTCCTTGGTGCTTGACCTTAGATGACAGTATCACGTCCTTTTATAGCATTTGATATCTTTAGCCTTCACGTGTTTATTTCAAAGAAGTTCAGTATTGAATAAAAAGTTTTGGATGGGTTACTAAATTGTCATTCCTGGTTATAAGTTTTGGTGTAGGAAATTGTACTAGTTCTGGTAGTACAACTAAAGTTTATCACGCGAATCAACTATAGTGTGAAAAGAGATTAACTTTGTTATTTGCACTTTTATATTTACAAACTCAGGTAGCCCAAAGAAAAGAGCAGAAAGATGTAGCTTAAAATAATGATGTCTAAAATTTGACAAATGATTGTAATTCGTTAAGTACGTACATGATGAAAATGAAGATTTGGAGGACTACTTGGTGTTCAATAGTGTGCACTTTGTGGAATCACCGAAATAGAATTGTATTTTGGGGAGAAAAACTTGACTTGGATGCTGTTAAGGAATTGATTAAATATAAAAGTTGGTTTTGGCTATCTGCAAAGGTTACTAATTTTAATTACTCTTACTATGACTGGTACACAAATTAAAGGATCTGCGGCACCTAACTGTAGTGAGGGCTTATTACATGAAAAAAGGTCAGTTATAGCAGCTAGTTTTATATCCTCGTAGAACTGTGATGTGGGCAGATAGTATACCTGTGATGGTAGAGATGCAATATTTTTTGTCTTGATGTTGTTTAATTAAACAATTGGGTTTTGTTTTTCTAAGTATAGGGGCTGGTATCATGCATGTATGCTTATGAAGTGGTTGGGTAGTCACTTTTGGTTATGTAGCACTTAATTTGCTTAAAATAGATGGGTGCAGTGCAAGTCTAGTTTAACTTTCCTCAAATTTCATTTGTAATTGGGTTACACCTGGTACCTCTTCTAAATTCATTTAGCTTATAAAGAAAAAACATGAGATCTGACTTGAGTGAATTATATAATATACAGCTGCTTTTTGCTTGTTGTAGTATGGTTGATCTCAAAGGAGAAACTCAGCATTGGTATAGTGTCACCCTATGCTGGCCAAGTTACTGCTATTAAAGAGGAACTTGAACAGACTTATGATGGGCATTATGGATTTCATGTGAATGTGAAGTCTATTGATGGCTTTCAAGGCGGTGAGCAGGATGTTATTATTTTGACAACTGTAAGAACCAACAACAGAACATCTCTTGAGTTCATTTCCTCTCCCCAGAGGACTAATGTAGCTCTTACAAGGGCTAGGTAGATCTCCCACTTAAATTTTCTATTTTTTAAAGTTTTATTTGTTTTAGAGTAGAGTAAATTACACTAACATCTTCTGAAATTTCGTAAGATTGTACACAACTTCTCGTTTTTACATTTACACTAACTATTTTAATTGTTTGAAAAATATTACACCATGTCTCCCTATAAAGAAGGTTGATGTAAATGTTAAAAAATAGAAAAGTTATATGCAATCTCATGAAACTCAAGAGATTTGGTGTAATTTACTCTTTAGAGTATCATAACATGTTTAGTGAAAGGCTGCTGCTGAATCGATATTTCTAGGCACTGCTTATGGATTTTGGGGAATGAAAGAGCCCTTACAAACAATGAAAATGTTTGGAAGGCTATTGTGCATGATGCTAAGAGCCGTAAATGTTTCTTTAATGCGGACCAAGACTACGAAATGGCAAAAGCTATTTTGGATGCAAGGGAAGAGTCAGATCAATTTGATGATTTTCTTGATACAAATAGTGTCCATTTTAAAAATGCACTGTGGAAGGTATGTAGATCCTGGACTTAATTTTATACTTGTTCTTTTGTTAACTTTTAATTAATTGTTAATAGTTATTGTTTTTCAGCTAATTCGTTATTTACATGTCTGTATATGCTGCATCTGTTCTTAACATTGGTGCCATTGTACACATCTGCAGTTACATTTCAGTGACAAATTTCTCAGATCATTCAAAAGACTACGGTCTGAAGCAATCAAGAGAGGGGTCATAAACCTTCTAAAAAGACTTTCTAGAGGGTGGAGGCCTAAAAGCTTTACTATGGATTTGTCTTGTGAAAATTCAACACAGATTTTGAAACAATTTAAGGTTGAAAGCTTCTATGTCATTTGTTCAATAGAAATAGTCAAAGCTTCAAGGTATATTCAGGTTTTGAAAATATGGGACATATTGCCTTTAGAGGATATCCCACAATTGGCTAAGCACCTTGAAAATGTATTCAAAAGATACACTGTGGAATATATCAGTAGGTGCAAGTGCAAAGAGAAACGCGGAGCCTTTGTTGGGTGAGTGCATTCAATTGCATTAATTTTAACATTTTCAAGCTGTTCAGTTCTATCCTTAATTAACCTATATGGAGCCTTTGGCTTCTTTCTTTGTGAACAGGAACACAGAGATTCCATTGAGTTGGCCACTTTCTGCTAACATCATAAAATTTAAGAATGCATATGACATTCCAAATTAAGGGAGATTTAAATGCTGACGAAGATACAAGTGATGCTGAAATGGTATGTTGTTGATCAAATACTAGCTGCTCCATTTCAAGAGGTAACATGGTCATTACAGTTAAGAAGTGGATCATCCATACAGCATAACATAATTCTCTTCCCTCGAAGTACCACGGTTCTGATTACTAAGCTGATTCAAAATGACAAAGTTGCACATGGTTAAGTCTATGGATCCAATATTTATGCAAATTTGGAACTATAGAGTATTTGACCGTTAAGTTTATATGACCCTAAGCTATTTTGGCTTTAAAACCTTGTTATGTTTGTTTCTCAAATAATGAGAAATGTCACAGTTATTAGTTTTCCTTTAACTTATTTATATTTCCCTTCTTAGTCTAAAGACAGTTGTTTTGTTTTGTATCTATACCATTATATAAAAGGTATATGCCTTATTATCTAAAACCGTTTCTACAACTTCGTAAACTACCTTTTTTTCAATGAGTAACTTCTCATTTGTTTTCTTCTTTTTCTTTATTTTATTTTGAAACTACAATTGCTCATAAAAATAATTATTTTTCTTCTTTTAACACAGTGCTGACGGAGCCCTTTTCCTGCTTATATAACATGAATACAATGTTTTGACGTTAGTATATTAGTGTCATGAAAGATGCCATCACAAGAGCCCTTCCTATAGGTTTATTGCAACCACTGCTTGCTCCTAATAAGATTAGGGAGGATTTAGCTAATGACTTTATTACGGGGCTACCGTTGTCCAAAGGTTACACTGTGCTTGGGATAGAAGTTTTGCATAAATATATCATCACACTGTTAAGTATTTTTATTTAAGTTCTTTTGTTCTTCCTTTAATAATTCCTAATTAAAATCTAATAGACCTCTTAGTAGGATTGGAACTCACATGAAGTTTTGACCATTTGTAAAAGAAAAAAAAAACAAGTAATTAGGTTTTCATTAATCTTATTTGCTCTCAAAATTCAAATCTTATTCATGAGTGATATGATATGATTCATCAACGATTGAAAATTTAGTTTTTATACATATAAATTTGTGTCTCCTCTAAGAAAAGTAATTAAGGGTTTAAAGAGAGTGAGAACAAAATGTGGGATATTAGTGGATGTTGGTTCTAAAACAAGAAAGAAAGCAACCAAAAAAATAGATTCTATGCAAAAACAAACTAAGAAAAATAGAAAACAAGAATACCAACTAGAACGTAAAACGTAAACATAGAAAAAGCAACAAAAATGAAAAAACAATTGTGGAAGAGAATACTGTGTAATTACAAGGTTTGACCAATTTGACGTACATTTATTAGAGGACAGATTTCACTATTTGAAAACAATATCAATTGTTTACACTAGAGCAACCTCTTGCTCTTCTAAGAAACTCATTTATCTCCTTAATAAATTCTCATTTACTCTCTAATGTCTCATTCACATCTTTTGCACTTACATTCTCACGCATTGGTGTTCATTTAGCAATAATCCACTCTCATGCACACCTTAAAAAAGAATCTCCAAAACACACACATATATTAAAGGGATTTATTTACTCCAAGAGTAAGTCTATTTATATTTACTTTACTCAATAACTCATATTCTATGACTAAATTTTAACCATTCTACCATTGAATTAAAAGTTTTTAATATAAATTAAGTTTACAAATTTTTAAAAATGTATAAAATTTTTATTATTATCATCAATTTGAATTAATGAAACAGAGTATCAAATAATTTTCAAATTTCTTAAAAATTTGCAAACTTAATCTATACATTAAAAAACTTTTAATTTAATAGTTGAATCGTTAAAATTTAATATAGAACTTGAGTTATTAAACAGAGTAGATCTAGGTATACTCACTTTTAGTGAGTGGATCTCTCATCTCTTTCTATATATTTTTGTTTGTGTTATAAGTGTGTGAATTTGAGATATTAAGATAAAGTCTTATACGAATGAATTTGTGCAAAGAAAAATCTTAAAACTCAAGAAAGTAAATAGAGTGACACAAAATTAGTAAATATTTTTAATTATTGTGCTAGTAATTAATTCGTGTATTCCTTTTTTGTTGATAAAGTTGTAAATGGAAAACCAGATGCATATGCCTTGATTTTGTGTCTTGCCTTTATTACTATGCCATTCAGCCTGTCAAGGCAAACTCAGTGCGATTTGAAGAGGATTTCTTTTTTTTTTTCATGGGATGTCTAATAGTGCTACTCATGAAGATTAATTTGGCATTAGCTATTGTTGGAGCTATTTCCTAATTATTCTTCGTTAGTCCTTGTATTGAGCATCCCAACAATTCTCCTCTTAAACAAAGGACCACGGTTTTTACCCCCTCCCCTGCAGGGAAAATGATGAGATATTATCCGCTTTGGGTCTAAGCCCTCACGGATTTGCTTTTGGACATAACCCAAAAGGCCTCTCAACCAATGAAGACAAGTGTGTGTATATAAACTCATATCCATCCTCTTATTTGAACGATGTGAAACTTTACTTGCATCCCAACACCTTGGATGTACTACATCGTACGAGAATCTTGCAGTCGAATTTGAGCATTCAGATTCAGTAGTGATAGATGTGAACTCGCTAAGTTCTGCTAATGCTAGTAATAGAATGGTGCAACAACTCATCGCTTGCATGAAAGCTAGCTATAAGGACCCTACTTTATGCTACTTTATTTTTATGAATAATTGGAGGTGCATGCAAGTTTTGGCAGAAAACTCGAGATTAGATCTTGATTGTTTCAAAAAAAAAAAAAACACAGAAATAGTTCAACAAAACCGCAAAGTTTGTTATATAAGAAGCTCCTGGAATTAAGGATGGCAAATAAACTTGTACCAGTGAATAATACCTGAACTCGTCTCGACTTTGACAGAAAATATCCAGTTTGACCGGGTACAGGTACGGATAAAACCCGATATGTTAAATCTGGTACGAGACGGGTATGTATATGTACCCGTACCCGTTCCTGATTGAATTATGTTAAAAAAATTTAATATTTTATTATGTGAAATTATTTATTATAATGTAAAACATTTATAGTTGTTTAATTATTAAAAAAAATAGATTAAAATATGAGATAGAGAAATAATTTAATTATAATTATAACATAATAAAAAATAATTTAAAAATATTATGTATTTTTTTATAAAAAAAATAATAATTTTTTACGGGAATGGGTTTGAGTAGCAGGGACGACATCCCTACTTGGAATATAGTCCTAGAATTTTTTAAGCTAGAGAACAATGCTAGCGCAAAGTCACTGAAAGACGAGCTCAAATTGTTCAACAAGCTCAAATTGGCATATGGAAACTTCATTGGGAGGTTTCAAGATTCTCTTGGTCAACTATATAGTGTTCTGGAAAAATAATTTAAATTTTAAATTTTAAATTTATAAGATATTATTTAAATATAAAAATTTATTATTTATCTTTAAAATTTTATTTAGAATTAAAATATTATATTAGAGATTTATTTCCTCTTTTAATATTATGATGTTAAGTCAATAAATAGAAGTTCTTAAGATGAGAAAAATTATCTGACATGTAAAGAGGGTCATTATCTGACATGTAAAGAGGGTCATCACTATCTTAAATGAGAGAGAAAGTCATATGAAGGAAAGTTTTCAAGTTTCGTCAGAAAACTTATGATGGATGAGCTTTCAAGTTTTACCCATAAAACTTGTGAGGAAGATTTTTCAAGTTTAACCCATAAAACTTGAAGGGAGGATTTTCGGACATATATGTAATATATTTTGAAATATATAATGAACATTCTCATAGACGTAAACATGAAAGACCGAATCACGTTAAATAAATTTTGTGTGATATTTTCCTTTTTTTATGGTGTTGACTTGTTTGTATTCTCTCATCCTTATGCGTAAAAGAAGTTTTTATGTTCCCAACAAAATTTTGTTGGGGTACAAACAAAATTTCACATCATTGGATCATAAAGAGAAAGAAAGGTTTATAAAGCACACATAATCTCCATGGTATGAGATCTATTTGGAGATGACAAAAAGTACAATTATGAGAATTTAAGTTCAAAGTAGACAATATCATACCAATATGGAGACGTGTGTGTATGTGAACCCTTGGTGCCCATCAGTCATATCAGAGTCAATGATCGACCAGGTGATCAACTCATAATCTTGGACAAGTATTTGGCAATAAGAGGCAGTGGATGCAAGTGTGAGATTCCTTGAGTCGAAAGTCTTCTCAGCGGAGTGGAGGTCAGGCAACGTGTGTTTTCGTTTACGTGAGCTAACGACAGTGCAAGTATTTAGAGTTGGCATGTGTGGCTAAAACTCTAAGGGTTCCCACTGAAAAAATTAATGGCTTTAGCTGAAAAGGGGTTAAACCATAGTTCTTTGTTTGAAGAGAGGTTTATTGAAATACAAATAAAGTCCTACATCATTGGTTCATGAAGAGAAAGAAAGGTTTATAAAGCATACATAGTCTCCATTGATATGAGGCCTTTTGAGAGATGACCAAAAGTAAAATCATGAGAATTTAGATCCAAAGTGAACAATATCATATTAATATGAGTGATCCAAGAGTGCCCATCATATAGGTATATTGAATATGAAATTTTTGATATTCAAGACCAACTCAACCATTTGTATGTGAAACGTGCCAATGAAATAGTAGCTGAATGTAAAGAAAATACAATTATAAATTGTATAAACTAAAATATAAAACTTGTTACTATCATTGAAGTACTTCTAATAAAATTTATGGCTTCTATTATACGTTTTTTTTTTCTATTTTCTTCTTTTAGAGTACATATACATTTTTTTTTCATCTTGTTTATTTACTTTTTAGATTAGTGAGGCTTAAGTCAAAGTCCACGTTGCAATTAAGAATGTACGTTGGTTTTATTTTTGGAGAAGAAGGTTAAACCATGAATTTAGGCCCCGAAAGTGCATGCTGAGAGCTTATTGGTCTAAGAAAGATGAAAAATGAAAAAAGAATTCTCTGAATGTTGCATCTAGAATAAATACCCACTTTGGTCTTTGTATTTTGAAGATATTATCATATTATTCTTTAAACTGAGAAAATGTTACATAAGTCTTTAAATTTAACAATTCGATGTCAATAAGGGAAGAGATATATTTTTATAAACTTCTTTCATTTTGTTCAATTTTTAGGAGTGGCAGACAAAATTCCTTCTCATCAAATTTTAGTTTTCCTCGAGAGATTTAGAGGGGAGAAGAAGGGAAAAGTTTTAAAACATTTTCAATATAATGTCTAAAAAATCCTTGCTTATGATTTTAAATTTCTCTCCACTTGTTAACCAAATTAATAAAAAAAGTTGCATCTCTCCTCCTCTCAATTAAATCAAATTTCTAATCTTTCCTTTTTCCT